GAGAGAAGAGAGAGAGAGAGAGAGAGAGAGAGGGGGAGGGAGGGAGGAAGAGAGAAACAGAGAGAGAAAGAGGCAAAGCGTGCCCCCCAGTTCTATTCGCTTGCCAAATGACAATCTGTCAGCGTGTTTCATTAGCGTGAGGTGCTCACGCAGCTCGCTAATGACGCACTCGCACAAAGGGACCACAGTGTACCAAGCGAAGTAAGGCGATTGAATTGTGCAAGTGGTGCAATACACCGTTGTTTCCCTATTCCAAAGTCTCCGCATTGAAACGAGTCGGAAAAATATCCTTTGTGGCGTAACAAGCGATGACGTTCAATTAGAGAAATTAGTTCTCGGGGAAACCGCGTGCGCGAATGGATTCTATTGCCGACGTTGTTGCTGTCAGCCTGATCGGGTGTGTCGCGACTGATCGAGTTGTTATGGATTACAGTTCACCCAATGGTCCAGGTACCGAACCAGCTGGTCGGGGCTCCGATCGGAACTAACGTCACGCTGATCTGTCTCGTGGAAGCGTCACCTAAGGCAATTAATTACTGGACTCGGGAGACGGGTAATAGAACAGTGCAATCAGTGTAGTTCTTGTCGTTCAATTTACTCGGAACGTAGATCTTATCAGTCGATTTAGATTTCAAGTGAACATTAAGATTCTATGTAGTTGGAAAATTCTCATCGCCTGTATCGGAGATGATCTTGATTAATGAAAATATTTAGAGCATGAAACATACTTATCTCTCTGCTTTCTATATGTCTGATTTCCGATCACAATTTAATACTATATAATCGGACAATATTTCTCGTTCACTTACAGCGGAAATTGTCTCTCATTGAGAAAAATATTTTGAGTATAAAGTTTTAACTTTGCTTTCTACATAAATATCTCATTTCTAATCACGACTTAATCTCCCAAACGAATTTTTACAGATGAAATGATAATTAGCAACAGCAAGCACACGATGTCCGAGGTGAAGACATCGGTGTACAGCGTGCAAATGCGATTGGTAATCATGAATCTACAGAAGCTCGATCTGGGTGGTTACAAGTGCATCTCGAAGAACTCTATCGGCGATGCTGAAGGAAACATTCGGCTTTACGGTGAGTTTTCGCAGTTAACGCGTTCACAAGGGCGCAAACAGATCGTAAAGTTTCTATATGTGAGATAAGGCTTCTGGACAGTCTCGAGGAACTTTGCCAGATACAAAACGATATGACAATTTAACTCTCATCGAAGATTAATGCGTTCGTTATGTATTTTTTAAAAATAAAAAATTTCTAATAAAATAATAATTTCTAATAAAATAAAAATAACTTAAACATCAGCAAAAAGAAAGGATATATTTTTGAATAAAATATCCAAAATCTAATAAAATTTGAGCATTTATAAAAACATTAATTCCAAAATAAAGGTAAAACAAAATTAAGAAGAGTAAATTTTTAATTAAATTTAATAATGTTATATTATGTCAAATATAAATTGAATTTTTCATCTGCAATATAAATCTATTTTTAAACGTCTATTTTTACATATGACTTAGAAAAGTGAAAGTGCTTTTCTCCGATAGCTGTGAAACAGCCCAGAATATCACAGACATGTATTTTAGCGCGGTTGCAGCTGCGTCGCTGTCTCAGCGGAGAAAGTATGGTGTATCACTGCAACGCAGTTTCCATTACACGCGCGATTTAATACGTCGCAATTTTGCAGAAGCAATTGACGGCAACAATTGCCTTGTGCATTACGCAATACAACGATATTTTTCTCGTCGTCCCGTAACATGTCGCCGCGAAAATGGTGTTAGGTTTACATATAAAATTAGACGTCTGTTTATTTTTGCATTGTTTGCGTTCGCCACAAAAAGGCATTGATCGATCGAGAACAATAATAGCATAAATCAATCGTTTATAAAAATATGAGGTATTTTGTGACTTATAAAGTGAAATGTTTCTTTTATTATTTCTTTCTTCACTGTACAAATAATGTACCAAAGAATGAAAGAAAAGCAATGTAAAGTGAATCTGGGTCGAGATATTTTACGTACGCTTGTGCAATCTTTTTTAATGTTAACTCCTCGTTTTGGTAATCTCAGGAATTTATCTCGAAGAAACCGCACGACCGTCACTACAAGGATATCGGTATTTGCGAAATTAAGTTTTCCCTCGAGTTTTACTATTTAAGATATCGGAGAGACCGGAACGGAAGACAGATAGGAATTTCCGCAGTTTCTTAGCCACGTCTCCGTCGTAACCGTAAGTTATTTCACGACGCAGATAATATTGTACTCTCTGTATAATATTTATGGAATTCGCTTCCATTGTGTGTCCGCGAAATACCGCTACCGACCATCGATGTACGTCTATGAAATACCCCACCAACCCCCCCTCCCCTTCCTTTAGTCAGTAATCTTTAAAATGTCTTTACGATATCGGTTAAAACATGAATACGATCCTCCCGCTTTCTGCCTGAGAGCTGTCGGTTTTCAACGCTCTCCTCGCGTTCAAACCGCCGTTCTTTAGTAACTTTATGTACTCTCTATAGATTTGCAACACAAATCAAATATATCATGAGTTAAAAAGCACAATAATTATGAACTAATAATCATTAAAAATGTGCATCTTGTTAGAAGCAAATAAAATTGCAATTTTTTTCTAAATGTATCAAAATTTTGCCAAGATTGTTGTTAACCTTCTTAAGATTTTCAATTTATGCTGTATCTGTATTACACATATCTAATAATAAATAAAAAGATACACATATAATTAAAATATCTAAAGCCTAGACAACGCGGTAAAATCTCATGCAATATATTACAACGGCGAATGATGCTGTGAGTGCAATAAGTCATCATAAGTGGTGTCTCATAATTTCTCACACTGATTGAACGTTACGATCCGTTTACGACGCGTATGCAGCCTCCTTTACTGCCGAAAAACGAATGAAAAAAGACACATTTTTCGCGGACGACGCAGCTCTCGGTGCGGTCCTCTCGCCGGTGTGTCATCAGCCGTAAATGCGACCATAACTTCCCGCTTGCTTTCCCCGAGCGCGTCCTTATTTTTTCACGGTTTATTTACCAGATTCCATCACATAATTTTCCGCTTTGTAGCACGAGAAAAAAATTCAACAAAGCTGCGAATTGCGCCGCGCTTCACGCGGAAAACATAGCAATCAAGCGTAATCAATTCAATTCATATGCATTAGATTTCCCCAATTTTTAATCTGTGATTGCGGCTGAATTACAGAAAATGCAATCATTAAATTGCAGGAAACTGAAGGGAAATACGTTTTTGAAAGAAAAAACGAGAATGCATATCCAAAATTATTTGACCTAAATTAAACGATGTATTTCGATCTCTAAAACCATTCGTTAGATGAGTTCTTGTAAAACGGCAATTTTGTTTTTTCAGAATAGTGACAGTTCAATTTTGTTGCAATGTTAAATGAAGTGACGTTTCTGCAACATTATTTAACGACATACGTCTGTTTGATTTGATTGTCAATATTAATATATGTTTCATAATTATAGATCGACGACAATTAATACGATGAACTTAACCGTATATGATTCATTGTTGAATCGATTTCCCTCTTTTAAATAAATAACGAAACAGTACTAATTATAAATTTTGAATAATTATAATAAAATATTTTAGTAAAAAGCGGTATAGCAATACTTATTCACAGAGAGAGAATTATCTCTCTTTTGATAATAATTTGGATTATTCACAAGGGACGCGAGATACGTAATACTAATAATTCATATATTATTTGCATACATATTTTACTGTTAATGCATATAATCTTATTCAATAAAAAATTCACGAAAGCTGCGAACTGCGCCGCGTACCATGTAATTTTTACAGTTTACTGTTCTCCGAGAATAATGCGACATACATGATGATATATACTCTTAGTCAAGAAATAGCAGAATGAACAAATATCGTTATGCTCGCAGAACACATCTTTCATGCAATATCCTGTCTAAAAACATCCTGTCTCAAAGTTATCTTATCAATAAAAGATCCAGTTATCGAGTTATATGTCGTGAGCTTTGCATGCATCCGGCGCATTGCCGTAACGAAAATTCCGCGCGCCGCGTGATCAGAGCGGAATTCCTAACGAATTATCGATGAGAGGCGCGAGTAAAATTACATATTCACACACGGCAATGCAATCCGCATTTGGAACCCTGCACGCGCGCTAAATACATCAACGTACATCACGGAAAGCGTAGGGGAGGGATACTGAAAGGAGGAAACATAAAACTGAACTGCATTATTAGTATCGCGACGAAACGATGATAATCTATGCAAAATTGCTTATGCAATTTTTCAGTAAGAAAACTCTCGCCTTCGAGGCTTATCTATCTTTATCCTCCAACCGTAGCATGAATAAAATGACGTAACAAGTGGGACAAAGTCGCGGCCGATATTTGCGAGTTAACTATCTCCGCTCGTAAGCGCGCGCGCAACCCTAATGACGGCAATTTTATCGCACTGTCGTGTAAAGAGCGGGCGAGGGTGCGCGATACTATCCCGGTCTGCTCGAACTTCTCGTTGAAGTCACGCGATCAGATAAGCTCGACGGATTAACCGTTAAACCGTTAAACCGCCGGTGTAAACGGAGCGCGATGAGCAGGGTGAAAAGAGCGCGGTACTCTCTATACATCGAGGTGGTTCGCGGTAGGTTTAAGAGCGCGGCAAGGCGAGGGCGAGGACCGAAAGGCTGCACGGAATGCGGAAGGACAGTGGCGGCATGTTGGCGCGTCATGTTGAGAACTGAAAGTCCGCGAAACAATATCCGAGCTTTCCATCCAGCCCTCGCCCATCTCTGACCGCGCAGTGCCGGGTTTTCGTGTCCTCTTTTCCACCGCTCTTCCGGGGATGTTCTTGTCACAGATTGCGCGCAGTCGAGATTATGGATTTACTTTGATAAATGGTGACTCGATATCCGTGGCGTAACCCCGGGGTGAAGATTGCATCGCTTTAAATTATAAGTCTACGGGTTTGATTCCCATCGCGAGGTTGTACAAAAGAATTTCTGATATTTTAAACTTTCTTCGCGTAGATACAGCGTTTCGTAGATTTCAAATAAATCGTTTAATTAATTAACGCTACGTTTATTTTATAATAAAATTATATAAATAACACGAATTTTGAAATATTAAAAATTTGTAATTCTTAATCGCATTCTGTCGCAATTTTGACTTGTCAGAAAAAAGACTTCAAATTCTCAAGGAAATATTATTGCTAGTAATTTAGAAAAATGTTGAAAATGATCCAAGTATTATTTGTGTTTCCGATAATGATTTCTTGTGAATCAGGCAGCATGAGTAGCGAGCGCGTCGCCAAAAAAGCGCTGCGGAACAATAGCGAAGATCGTCGGGGCGTCACGTCGCTAGTTAAAAGACCGTGAAACAATATCTAACGTGGCCGCCATCCCGCCGTTATCTCTCTTCTTGCTCTCCGTCATCCCGGCCTCGCGTACTACCGTGTCTCGTATTAGTTATCGTTTATCAGCCGGCCAGACAAAACGCGCCGTCCGGAATTGGGTGAGCCATCTGTTGCCAGACATGATCGATAAAAGTCTGCCAAGTGTTATCAGTGCTAAACTGCTATTTCGACGGGCTGCCGCACGCGCGCACCCTCTCCTCTCTCCACACTTCTACTTCTTCTTATAGTTCTTCTAACCACCGGTCTACCGCAACCTGTCTCTTCGTTCGTAGCAGCTGTACGCGGGGCGTCGCAGACTTGCCGCGAAAAATGTTACTTTTTGAGGAAATTATTTGACCAATTTTTGCTGAATAAAAATTCTCAGAGGGAAATAATTACGGAAATGTTTCATGTCGCAAATAAAGGGATTTCCAAGGATTCAAATTCGCGAGTAATAAATGTGAATTTTTTATGCGAATCAAAGATAACGTTTTTGCATGGATAATTTACAGTCATATCTGGATTAAATTCATTAGCGATACCACTGAGTGCAGTTCACCAAGCGAAAGGAAAATTAGGATGAAAATTGCGTCTCGCGCTGCGGGATTCGAGTGTTCTCTAATGAATAAGTAGCAATGGCTAGCTAGAGAGAGGTACCCAACTCAATATCATTGAAACACAATCTTGTCAATTAGCCCTGTGATTTTAGTATTTAGTAGTTTCAAAACTGTACGATTAGCATAGGAGTTAGAAACGTTACACTCTAACGTTATGCGAGTCCGATTGCGCTAATATACCTAATTCTGTTTCAGAACGGGTAGCATTTAATTAAATCGCCATAATTCTATCGTAATTAAACATATCAAAGTATTTTCAGTTAACTTTAAAATGTATATATTTTTTAATGAATTAAATTTAACTGAAAGAGATATATTATATGTATCTAGAAGAAATTAATAGAAGCACAATAATTATGAAGCTCTCTCAATAATGCATGATGCAAATAGGTACGTGTGAAGCTGGCATATCATTTCGCGGAAACTCACAAATAATTAAGAGTTCTGACTTTATTTTCAATAGTTCTAGAGTTCCTGATAGTTTAAACAAATAGTTCTGGCCATTAAACCAACGAAAATGCCTCAGGACAAACTGAGACGCCAACTTCACGCAGCGTCTCACTTTGTCCTACGACATTTTCCTTGTCAATAATTGTTGGAAATTAAAAGATTTATAGTTCTACAAGAGTTCTAAGAAGAGTTCTGCCTTTTAAAAGCAATAAAATATCAATAAAGATAAAATAAGAACAAGCGAATCCTTATATCTATAGATATACAGATGAGACGCCGGCCTATTTTCAAGAGTTCTGTTTATTCCAAATCAGTTTTCGTATAATTCTGGACATACACAATGCCTTTCCAAGGAGTTCTGATGGTTACAACAATTAGTAACTTTTTTAAAAAATTATTTTGCCCAAAAAACGTATTTTTTCGGGTATAAAGGTGAGACGCTGGTCGTATTTCCATAGTTCTATCGATTTTAAATGACATTTTGCGTCAGACTGTAATCACTTTTCATTTCTATGAAGAATTCTATGCGTTATTAGAATGTTAATTAAATAAATTAGATCTTTTGAAGCGCTGGACGTATAAATACCGAGCTATCGAGGTGAAACGTTGATTGTTTTTCTACAACGTCATGAATTAAAAAATTTTTATTTTACTGTGTAAGTATATTGTTTTAAATGTCCACGCCGTGATTCTGGATTATGCTAAGAACAAGATAAGTACATTTAAAACAATACACTTTCACACAATAAAATAAAAATTTTAAAATCCATGACGTAGAATAATGATCAGTCTCACCTCGATAGCTCAATATATATACGTCCAGTGTCTCGAGAGATCTAATTTGTTTAATCAACATTCTAATAACTTTTACGCATAGAACTCTTCGTAGAAATAAAAAGTGATTACAAACTGACACAAAATGTCACTTGAAATCGATAGAATTATCGACATACGACCAGCGTCTCACCTTTATACTCGAAAAATTACGTTTTTCAGGCAAAATTAATTTTAAAAAGGTCTAATTGTTGTAACCATCAGAACTTTTGGAAAGACATTGTGCATGCCCAGAACTATACGAGAGCTAAGTTGGAATAAACAGAACTCTTGAAAATCGACCAGCGTCTCACCTTTATACCTAAAAAAATACGTTTTTCGGGCAAAATAATTTTTTAAAAAAAGTTCTAATTGTTGTAACTATCAGAACTTTTCGGAAAGACATTGTGCATGCCCAGAACTATACGAGAGCTCAGTTGAAATAAACAGAACTCTTGACAATCGACCAGCGTCTCACCTTTATACCTAAGAAAAATACGTTTTCGGGCAAAATAATTTTTAAAAAAAGGTCTAATTGTTGTAACCATCAGAACTCATTGGAAAGACATTGTGCATGCCCAGAACTATACGAGAGCTAAGTTGAAATAAACAGAACTCTTGAAAATCAACCAGCGTCTCACCTTTATACCTAAAAAAATACGTTTTTCGGGCAAAATAATTTTTAATAAAAAGTTCTAATTGTTGTAACTATCAGAACTCTTTGGAAAGGCATTGTGCATGCCCAGAACTATACGAGAGCTAAGTTGAAATAAACAGAACTCTTGAAAATAGGCCGGCGTCTCATCTGTATATCTATAGATATAAGGATTTGCTTGTTTTTATTTTATCTTTATTGATATTTTTTTGCTTTTAGAAGGCAGAACTCTTCTTAGAACTCTTGTAGAACTATAAATCTTTTAATTTCCAACAATTATTGATAAGGAAAATGTCGTAGGACAAAGTGAGACGCTGCGTGAAGTTGGCGTCTCAGTTTGTCCTGAGGCATTTTCGTTGGTTTAATGGCCAGAACTATTTGTTTAAACTATCAGGAACTCTAGAACTATTGAAAATAAAGTCAGAACTCTTAATTATTTGTGAGTTTCCGCGAAATGATACGCCAGCTTCACACACACTGCAAATAGAGTGAATGTAATCACTTTGCGAGAGGAGAGCACGTGTATTTGAACTGTGATGCATCAAACTAAACGGGAAATTAGCGTTTGTTACTTCGTAACGGACGAGCCGTACCGATTGATCCTAACATGCGAGAGATAACGGCGCCTCATATCGTTGCCCCCCGCAACATCACGTTACTCGCTATCACGTATCGACTTGCTCATCATTCGCTCGTTGAATTTCAATGGAACGTGCCGCGGATATTTAATATCGTTGAAAAATACGCGGGAGATGGTTGTCAAAGACAAGGTTGTATCTATTCACGAAAAGTACGTGTCGTAAATACTAAGTAAATTTTATCTTAAAAAAAATTTTTTTTTTGGCAAGAGAAAAGAAATCGATTTGCCTTCCATTGCACGCATGTACAAACTACATCTACAAATCTCAAAAAAGTATTCTCACTTCGCTTTTATTCGCCTCGCGTGTATCGAGTGACGTCAGGCGTAAAAGCACCGCGCGATACCTTCCATCGAGGTTCTGCACATGCGGAAAAAAAATGATATCTGCTCACACGTATCACCGACTCACTGGCTGACCACGGTTGAAATAATGTTCCGATGATCGTGCCTTGAATTCGACAGCAAAGGAACTGCAAGCTTAGCGCTCTTACGGCACGATGTAACACGAGTATCGACTGTGACCTTTTCTACATTGATTCAACAACTTGTTGTAAAAAAAAACCTCCCGTTTAAATTTCACATTTATGTAACTTCCTTAAAACACAGCGACTTATTCAGAGTTTCAAAAACGTGAAAATAGAAAATAAAGTTTAATATTATGTTCCAATACCAATGATTAACTTTTTAAAAATAAACGCTTTTCAAAAAAATACTAACACTATTTTCCACTCTTATCGTGTTACAGATATGGAGCTGCCTAAGCACTCCAAGAAGCCCAATGATCAGCGATCGGACGACGACGAGAGCGACTCGATCAACAGCAGGTTAAACCATGTGCCTCGGGGCTCCCTGAGGGAAACGGAATCGACCCTGGAACCGGCCTTCGACGCGGACGACAATTCGGCGTCGACCACCTCGAGGGAGAACGTGCCGCCCGCGACGATCGGTATCGTCCTGATCGCGCTGCACCACTTGCTCGTTTTGACGTAAGATAGACGTAGCCTACCTACCCTTAAACTCAAACTACGTTCACCACGAGCTCGATTCTCTAACCTAAGGAAATTGCGCGAGATAGCGACGGAATAGTCCCGTCGAGTCGCGTTCTCGGCGATCCACAACGTTGATTGCCGCTGATCTAACTTCAGTATCGATATATATCGTCGATACTGACGAAACAATAGCTACAATATTTTATACCGAAGCTACTACGCGCCACGTTGCCGAAGGATACTGATACGTTTAAAATATTGAACAAAATTCACCAAATTGATGAACGAAATCGCGAACAAAAATTATTATTATAAAAATATATTTAGATAAAAATTAAATATATTTTACTTGATATACTTTATATACTTGTATAAATCAGTGGTAACCTATAAAAATTATTATGTAGTTGAATTAAATGCAATAGATTTAATTTTCTGTAGAATTAAAAAAAAAAAGGCAAAAATTTTATTTTAATCAAACATAACAATCTTTCTACCGTCTTTACTTCTTTTTCTCCAAATAAAATGTTTTTATTATTTATTACATTTACGATGTAAAATAGTGAATTAAAATTATACATGCAAAATTCAGAGTCTATCAACGTCAACTTTATGCAATCATTAAACAATTTCTGGTTTGCATCTTGATGACGAAAAATGCGTTTCATAAAATTCCATTTAAAAACTCGAGAACAAATGCTAATAATAACGTCCACCCAAAAATAACAAAAATCTGCAAGCCAAAAAAAGCATTGAAATAACAAGCGTCATATTAAATGAAGTCATATAACGCGTGTCGTGTAAAAATAGCGACACTTCCAAAACAAGTTAGCAACTTTTACATTTGCAGAAAATATTTTTGATCAAAGATGTTTAGGTATCTCTTCATGTCTTGGAAATATTTATGTGTGCTACATTTCATCTTTTGCAACAATCTAGACAGCACAGAAAATAAATTCGCTCTTTTCCTTAAAAATATAAAGGTATCTATTCAGAAATATTATTAATTTATTAATAAATATAATGATAATGTAATTGATTAATTCAAATCGTTGATTTGTTATATTATTTACTATAATATCACATACAAATTATTTTACGATATAAAATACTATCATATTCCTTTCTCTAAAGCGCGCTTTGGAATCTTATCTTTCAATTTTAATCCAAAAACAATTTCTTTCATATAAAAGCTGTCCATATTTCGTGCGGCATCGAACCAATGTTGGCTGCTCTTCCGCTTTACACCTGTGTAAATTAACGAACGAATATCGACGAAACGTTAACGGCAGATCGAAGATCGTGAAATTTTACTCGCGTCGTCATCGCGGGCTACGGGCTACCGTGATTGTTCGTCTGCAGCTTAACGAGATATCTCGTTAGCAGCCGCGTCTCTCGCCACCAACCAATGACGTAATTATTAAATCGCCGTTCTTTTTTAGTTCCCACCCGAAATGTCAGATCGTAGGCGAGGCGGTTACACGCGGAATCAATTACGCGAACGTCGCTCACGTCGAGTCACTATCGACGCCAGAGGAAACGCTCCCGAGAGCGACTGCCGCACGAGAAATCGCGCGTGTTTAATTAACGCGTGAATTCCCGTCGAGCGAATTCGCATTAGCCGCGATCAAGTGAAACGTACGGCTGCAGCATCGATATCTAATCCAAAGCCGATTTTACACGATCGAGAAGCGAAGTGTCGGGCCTTCCGCTCGCGTGCGTGACGCATGCGATTTCGCAACGCGTATGTCTCCGCGTATCATGGGAAATTCAATTTCAAATTACAACCCTGGAATATCTAAACGGATATTCGGCAAAAAAAAGTGAAAAACTCTTCATAAATTTTCAATACACAAAATTAGTTGACGAAATATTCACAGATTATTAAAAAAAAATATTGCTTCTACTTTTATATGTTATATAATATTTATATTATTTCCATTCGAGATTCGCTTTTTCGAGAAAAAAATTACTAATGCATACGACAGAACGATAATTGAAAATTTTCTCATTAACATATTCACTGCGCAAGCAATCATACCGAAATATTTTTATCGACAATTTCGTTATTAAATATCTGTCAATCGATCCGTGCGACAGAAACGTCTCTTTTCCTGAAATTCCGACATTACTCAGACAGATATGTCATATTTCTAATTTCTTCGATACGTAGCATGAATGTCTCGTTTTACTCTTGCTACATCCTATCCTAAGAATATAACGCGTCCCATTTGAATGCGTATCAGTTCAGAATATCCTATCAAGAAAGAGAAGGCCCGATCGTTCTTTCCATTCTTATATCACAATAAGATATTCATGACAAAAAAAAATTCCGATATGTGCTTCGTGCAAAAAATAATAAATAAATTTTTCTATATAAAATGGTGTTTTGTAAATAATTAATTACTGAATTTTCTGTTCGACAGATTTCAAATTTCAAACAGTATACATATATTCCATTAATCACAAGAATCCTTCGCACGTGGAAAACTGGTAGCGCGAAACAGTAATAAATAAAATTGCCATCCCTTTGCACCGATATTAAAAACAAATATTGTTAAAATTGATCTCATCTAAAAATATTGCAAGTATTAATGTAAAAAAATTGCAAATATTCGTATAAAAAAAATTTCATAGAACTGACGCATAAAATTTTATTAGAAAATATTGCGGTCACTATATTTCTCTTTTTACTTTTGAATAAAATTTTTTCAAACATTTTGCATTAATATTAATATTAATATTATATACGTATTAATTTGCGAGTAACATTTATAATTTACATGTCCACGCAAAATTTCGGGTAAACTCGTGGTCCACCGAAAACGCGATCGCTCGGCAAATGATTTTTGATACATAACTTTGGCCCGGCCACAATGAGAAACGCGCAAGCAGAAACGAAAGAGACGGATAATTACGTCCTGACTAAAAAAAAAAAAAAAAAAAAAAAAACGTGCCAAATATTTGCCCTTGTTGTTCCTTCCTTGATATAAAAAAATTCATCGCTTTATTTAAGACAATTCATTATCAATTCTGAGGGTCCATGCCACTTTTTTCAAGCTTCCAAATCCGATCTTAAATCCGTATTATTATTCCATTTAGGCGGCTTTTCTATAAATGGCACCAAATGACAATTTTAACACTTCTAAGTTGGACACATCTTTGCGAAATTCTGAGACACCTTGCGAAAATGTTTATATAAAAATGACAAAGTGAACAAAAAAAGGCTCTATCCATCTTTCTGTATATAAATGTATATACATAAAAGTTTTAGTTAATATTCATTAACTCATTAATAGTTAAATCTTGAGTCTTCACACACGCATAGCATGGTTTGTTAAGTAGATTAAGACTCCTATAACTTCACTGTAAATTACTCTTATGGCATAAAATGCTATTACATTCTCTAGAGAGAACTTTAGAATCTTATTTCTCAGTTTTGACATAAAGGCACTCAGGTCCTTTTACATAAAAGTCGTCCATTTAATGGGACAATGAATATTCCCGGTAGACAAAGGATGCGGCGCTTTATAATGGCAACACTTTTGCTACCGCTCGTTACGACGACGTTGTCAATTACATCATCCGACAGTCGCGTTGTGAATGAACGGTTAACGCACGTATGGAGGTTAAATATTTTATACTTATATGAAAAGAATGACGCGCGGAGACTGTCAGCAAACATAAGCGTTTTTGCAGAGATAATATCGTATAATAATGAATGATAACTGACTTTAGGTTCCTCCTTTACGTGGCATCACGTATTTATCGTTGTATCATCGATCGTCATGCTAAACCTAATTACGCGAAATTGAATCTGACAGTGTCACTGTGATAAAAATTAATAGCCTTATTTTTTTTCTAGCTAGCTTTCTTTTTCTTATTGAAATCTCCCAATAATTAATATATCCTATGCAATAAATAAAAAATATAATATTGAAACAAAATATTAATATCCATATTAATATCGTAATGAATAGTATGACAGCTAGGTCAGGTCATCCGTATAAAATATTATGTCTAATTTTGCACCTATATAAATATCATCAATTTTTAATTTAATTAATCCACTTTCTGTATATTTCTAGCTTATTTGCATAATTTATCTACATAACTTTTTATTAAACTCCCCTTGCCACGAGTCGAAACTTATAGAGTTCTACGCTATCTAAGCGTCAAAATCTGAAACTAATTTTTGTAGGAGTATCATAGTATCGATTGCTGGCGCGAGTTAAGGAATGTCGCGATGTCGTGACATCGGGTATTATTAGCATACTATCGTGATCGCAACAATTTCATATTTAATGTCACGTGAAAATGGGCTAAAGTGTCGGTTGTCATAAAGGCTCGCACGATTGTTTCGTTATTTATTCGCAATTGGGCCTCGTTATAATAACTGTAAGTGAATGTACATGCCTGTTGCGTGGGTGCGTGCGTGTGCGTGATGTGCGTGGATAACGTGAGAGAGAAACATCGCGATGTCTAATTATTATTAATGGAAAGCGGGAAAACGTCTATGTGTAGATTGTGTAAATTACGAAATAGGGTTTATCAAATTGTTGATCGTAGGTGTGTTTACAAGGGTTATATAATATATATAAATATATATATGAATATATATAAATATATCTAAAGCGTAAGTTGGAAGTAAGAAAGAAAATAAAAAATCAAATCGCAATTAAATCGGCCTTTCGCGCGTTACGGCGGATAATGCGAGACTCTATGGCTCAACATTATCAACGAGTTCTGTTGCTCGATCATTGTTGACTATCGTTTTGCTCATTGTTATAGTTGCCATCGCTTTTTGAAGATTGAATCGACTATCCTCCACCCCATTTTCGTCCTTCTCATGACGAAAAAATTTGAGATAGTTGAAAAATTATAAATATCATATTAATAGCGCTATATTGTATAATATATTGACAATTGAGGAAAAAAAACAACTCCAAAACGCGTCCATTTTGGTTCGTAACGATTTATAATGCTAACTTAAGCATTAAGCGGTTCGAACAATGCACGAACGGAGAACAGTAAAATTAGTGCTGTATAAGCAGAATTTTAACCCTTCAACTGCATATATAATCTTATATTTTGAGAAGTTTGAAAATCGAAAATTTAACAAAAATAATATTAATTTATTTAACACTTTATCGTAATAAATTAAATTCATTATCAGACAAAATTAGGCGAGCTTTAGTCTGTGCACCTTCATACGTAAAATAATGATAAAAAAAATCGATAAAATGTCTAATAAAATGCGAGAAAAACAATTCCATTCGAGATACATTTGAAAGTATTCACACAGTTAAAGGGTTGAGACGAAAAGAACGACGCCCGCATGTTGCGTCGCGAATTAACATATCATTTAACAATTCGAGCATAGTTTCGTAATCTTTTACTTACATATCGGCGAATCTCCGTGCGCTTTGACCGTTCTCGTGGACCTTTTATCGCTCCAATTCGTCGACGAACGTCGCGTGAACGCTTAAAAGTATCGGCACTTTTAAGTGTCCCTACGCACATATCACTCCGAGACAGTACTTACTTCGTCGTGTCTAAAACAATGTAAAAAGTGCTTTTAGTGCGATTGAAGTTGAGGCGATAGCGAAATCGTACGTATCGATCGACCTTTCGGAGCTCGATCGCGCCGACTCTTTCAGGACGAGAGAACTGATCGGCGATTCGAAAAGGACGGCTAGCCTTTAAGAGGGACGACGCAACACTGTCCTCGAGTGGCCTGACCTTAATATATTTTGCACTATGTATACATAGATATACAGAATGGCGACCTATCCCCCTAATCATATCCCTATTGTGAATATTATCATCTTCGACCATCTCCCTCATCATCTCCCTCCCGACTCTCGTCCACCTCAAACCGAAAAACCGTTTAGCAACGGCGGCGCATTGCACACTGTACAATAATCTCACACGCGCGTGCATATGTTATATATATATACATGATATACATACGGTTAATATGCATACCTGTGCGTCGATGTAATTAATTACTGTGCCCCCATAATACCAAGTATGAAACGCAACTTGTACCAAGCCAAGCCACGACTTATCGACATATTGTCGCCCCAATGGAGGTATATATATATTATATATAGTCGAATAAAGAGACGATTAATGTATGTCGTAATTGCCATCTTCATTTTACATTCCATCTCTGAATTGCCAGAAAGAAAAAAAATCCATGAATTTATTATTACACCGATGTAAAATAAGCGGTAAAGAGACTCTTCATTGTAATTCGACCATTTTCTAAAATTTCAAATATCTCAAAATGGCGTTTTATTAATTTTGCAATAATAATTCATAATTTATTAGACTAATTTTGCGGCGGATCGACATCTCATCGAAAGAATTAATATCTCGCGTAAAGCTATTATCCGGAAGATTGATAGAAGTAATCGATATCTCCCGCGCGAGAGGCAAGCTACGGCATTACTATGTCATTACAAGCACTAGGCAATACGTTCATTACGTTATCGTTGATTACATGACGTTAATCGTGTAGGGAATAAATAATCCGCAATCGTCAAGGGATCCATTTACCAGTCGATCAAAATTCCGCAGCGCACGGACGCATATAGGCATACATTGATGCGGTACCCATATAAAGTGTATATGCCACACAATGTGATTATGGTTGATAATTATTCGATTTAATGAGCTGCTAGAATTGCCAAAATAGCGTTTCAATGCATTCGCGACATTGCCGTTGAATTATCGTCAGGGGAAGATAAATAACAGATAAGCCTTCGTGCAAGATAAAACTCTCTTCTAAGAGAAAGGTAATATTAACGATTTTTACAAAAAATAACGTGAAACATGATTACATTTTATGTCTATCAAAGCTCATAATCTAAGTGATAGTATTATGATGTCCTTATTAGTTATAGATAGCACATAAATTTCTCATGTATAATCAAGGTAGGTAGACAACTAAGAGCAGTCGCTCGAGTCATAATAAAAAATGCAATCTGCAATAATAAGAGCAAGAAAACTAATCGTCACAAATATAAATTTGGATTCAAACTGTCATTTAAGTAAATAAACATTTGACATGGAATAATTTAGCAAAGAATTTATCTTTGAAAAAAGTATTAATTTACATAAAATTGCAAATGTATTTGCAAGCTCATCTTAAATGTCTAATATATTTTGTGTTTATATATAATATCATTAAAGCAAGACAAAAAAAATTCTCGTTTTCTTATTCATAATATAGTAATTAAATTACAATGTTGCATACGATTATTGATACACGTTATTGATTACGAGGATGACTGCCTTTCAATTGTAGTATACGTCCGTGTAGTCGAACTTTTAATTGTACAAACAATTTATAACACAGAGATGCTAATATCACTTGCATGCGCATACTCGCGCACGTCCTGCGTATTCAATTTCGATCGGGATTACAATTTCGAATATGACTCTCGTAATTGCGGGTACTAATTAATGTCTATTATGAGAATTAATTGGAACGTGACTCCGTGTTGCATATTTTAATACAAGCGATTACGCACTAGCGTATCGCAAAATTTCATGCCTTCTCCGTACAAACAAAAGAAAACTCTTACGTGATAAACAATACACAATATACAGGGTAACCATTGGAAAGGTGTCTAAGGTAAATTGCTATAACTTTTTAACGAATGGACAGAACAAAATGAATTAAACATTATTTTGTAGAGGAAATCCATCACTTTTATTATGTATAATATAAAAAAAGTATATAATAATTAAATAATTAAATAATTAAAATAAACATTATAAAAAATGCTACAAATCTTTCTAGGCGCTCAGTAATAAATATTTTCGAAATTTGTTATCTACATCAAAATCGGCACATTTTTAACATGACTGAGAAAATACCCTGAATATATTTCAAATATTCTGTTTCAGCTTATCAATATTTTCCAATGGGCAACATTTTGAAAATATTTATCACTGAACGCCTAGATAAATTTTTCTTAGCATTTTTATCATATTTAGTTTAATTAATTAATTATTATATATTTCTTTTATACTATATGGAATAAAATTGACGAGTTTTCTCTACAAAATAACATTTGATTTCATTCTGTTTATTTGTTGCAAAGTAATAGTAATTTACTTTAAACACCTTTCTCCAATGTCACTCTGTTTAAAACGTGATGATCGATTATAATCTTCGTCATATATATTTCTTGTTTATTATCCTGCAATCCTATTTACTTTTAATTTAACTAATATAAAATTATACTATATCTAACACTCATATATAAAATCACACGTAGCTATTTCATCAACATTTTAATGCGTTCTTTTACGTTCAATATAGACTATAATAATCATAACGAGTAATATTTTATCTGCATAAATTCTCTTTGACTTGATTAAACTAATTACTTAATTTTTATACAAACATGTATATACAGACATCTCCCTTTTTCTTTTTCTCATATTACAATATTAAAATACTTCAGCTAAAATAATAAAATATAATTTTCAATTTTTTATTGTATCAAAAATATAGATCAATATATTATCCTTATATTATATTAAAAATTTGTACCTACTGCAAATCAATCAATAAAATCACAAATTAATTTTAAAAATTAATAACTATAAATTAAAGATACAAATACTTGATGGAAGACGCAGATATTTTATTTTTGACTCTAGGCTAAAGGTTAATGTAGTTCAAAATGAAGGGCGTAAGCGTAATGCGAGACGGGCAACAGATCGTTCGCTCGTTACGTCCGAGCGAGCTTTCGAGCGAGCTTTCGGGCTTAGCGCGCAATGACCAAGTAAATTGCAGGTGCAGCGTACCTGCGGGTCCTCAATGATTATTCAATTTAATGAGCTATTGTAGACGCCTCCTGGAACGTGACGTTTACACCGCAACGGGTTTCCGTGCCGCGAACGATCGGCCGTTCATGCTCAACGAGTTCGCGGATCGCGCTTCACTCCTCCTTCCTGTCTATCCTGTTTCGCGCCTCTGCGAACACGCCTGATCGTTCGCGTGTACATACGCGCGCTTAGCACGCGGATTTGCGACGCGACACCTCCAGCTGGAATTTCGATGCCGTGACGAGCGCGCAACGCGAACCCATTGATAATTAGTAGACACTTCGAGGCGAATTAATCCGCTACGAAACGACGAGCTCGGCGCGGTCGGTCATTAATTAAGGACACGCTGCGCGGGGACGGTAAATCTACGCGGCATTCATTACACAGCGGGATACGTGCGCGTGTGCGAAATACACGGACTTTGCGCGGAAATTTACACGGCGGCCTCCAATTTGTCGGGACCTTTTAGTTTGCAATTTCAAATATCTCGATAATCAGGTCTCGAGCTAAGTTATCGTTTAAGCGAGGTCCACTTCAAATTAATTGAACAACAAAGTTCCGTTATATACCTGTCTACGCTTTCGAAGCTTAAGTCCGTAAAATCCTTTAAGCTTCAATATTAAATAGCTCGTCAAATTAAGCCATCCTGCAAATTCCTGTCAAGAAAATGTCCGATTACTATTTTGTTAGAAAATATTTATTCACTGCCGATCCCTTACTGACATTTTTGGAATGTCACTGAAATAACGCATCTTCTCTACTTCGACTCGTCAAAATGTGCGTGGTTGAAGAAAAGAAATGTTCAAGAACAACCTGATATGACCTTACTCGATCTACGTGAGCTATCGGCCGACATACATAATCAAAAGTGAGTCCGATCCTACAACCTAAACTATTCTCCACCTTCCAAGACCTCCCTTTATTCGATTCACCGACGAATCGAACGTACATGTCCAGACAGACGGCGAGAGTGAGCCGCAGGATCTACCGTTTTACGTACATGCCGGTCTCGTTCTGAGGCGAGTCACGAACGGACCGGATGGGCCGTAGTTCGGGCTCCTTCGAGTAGTCGGCAGAAAAAGAGTTGCCTCGTTAATCCAGATCGGCGAGAAAACGCCTGGAAGAACGAGTCTCGTGGCGGGGATGGCGAGTACGAATCGCGAGGCGAATGCCGAAGAAAGGACGAAAGGAGGGCCTTTCGAACATCGATGACGGTGAACGGGCAGCGGGAGAGGTATTAAAAGGAACGGAAGAGAGGGTAAAAGGTAGAGAGTAGAACCGGAGGGGGAAGGGGAAGCAGATTAGAGAGGGTGGATGCCGAGAGAGGACGAAGTAGCGGGGAAAGGATGACGGGCGGTCTGATATTGTAAGTGGCTGCAAATCCTTTATAACTGAGAGAGAACTCTCGCGGGCGAGAGCGGGGCGAGCTTGGAATTTTTGATGTAGTAGCGGGCAGATATGAATATCGGAAAGTTTCCAAAGGAATTCCGCACAGGGTCGCGGAACGGACGGGGGTTGCGACGGGATCGAAGGGCGGCGGAGTGGAGGAAGCCAACGGAGGGCAGAGATGATGCTGCACACGCTGCCGCGCCCGGAACACGGCGGTAACTTTGAGAAATTGCTGAGAAACCGATAAACTTCGCGACGGACAAACAAGGATTCGAACGGATACACGGATTCCGATACCAAAGCGATGCCACGCGTGTATCGTTTCGGACTACTGGAACAGAGTTTTATGATTGCGGTTAAAGTTTAATTTTGAAAAGTCTCTTACACTCAAAAAAATGATCTTGCAATAATAGCTAAAATTTTCTAGGTGTAAAAAATTAACTAAAACAGATAAATGATTAGCAACTGTTGTGATATTGCATATGTAATTACTTAATCAGTTTAGATGACAGAAACAGAATATATATCTGTATTGTTTGTGAACTTTAAAAAGAAAGTTTCTCTAAAGCGCTTATCTATATAAGATCAATCACGTGTTAGATCATGCAATGAATAACATTTAGCAATGGTACCTAAATTTTTCAGAAGCTATTGCTAGAACATTACTGCTATAAATTCTATATGTGACAAACAATGTTTTCACAGATACGAAAAATAGCGATACATTCTTGTTGCGATATCTAGAAATCTAACTACATCAGCGAAATATTTTTTTGAGTGTAGTATCTTCAAAAATATATATAGTATAAATATTGAATGTAATGACATAATTTTTTCTAATAGTCTAAGGATTCTTATGTTTAGATTTTTTAATCGTATTTTATATGATAACAATTTTATATTTTCAGGGAAATAAGAATTGTCATAAAACGTAAGTGCATATTTATATTGAATACTGATTTTAGAAATTATGTAAATTTCTTGTTTTTTCTTTAGTTACGTATTTATAAACAAATAAGTGAGATCGGAAATCATTGATTATAAATAAAAGAAGACTTTAATTATTATTTCAACATTAATTAATGTAGGCATTGAACTTATTCCTTCTGTTTGTAATTAATAAATTGAATGGCCATTTATTTTATTGTTTTCGCTATAAAAAATTATTCATATAAATATTTACACAAATGTATTTTCCATTTTAATATTTGTAGTTAAAGTAAATTTTTAATAACGTTTGTGATGTTTTAATAATCTTTCTATTAAAAGTATTTAATCATAATTTTGCAAATGATTTCTCGCAAGATATATTATCATCATCGCGGATGTATCAGACGGTCTTGAAATACTTTGTCGGTATATTGAAGAAGTTTGCCCTAAGGATGTAATCAACTCTTATCTCTTCTATTCACTTGTATGCGCATCGACGGAATAAAGGAAAACTTTGACGCCACCAATTATGCGTGTAAACCGGTATTATTTCAATAATATTCCTGCGAACGTCAACGTAAAGTCTTGCCAATCATTTTCGAGCTTGATGCTAATGAGTAGAAACATAATTATACAAAACAAATATTTAAATATTTGATCTTTAATTTCTTTTCTTATGTAAATCAATAATTTAATTTAGCTGAAGATAAATTCTGTTAAAACGCATAAGAGCAATAATTCCCCCCGATAAAAGTAGAAGATAAGGAAAATATCTTTTTTAAAATAAACATTGAAAATATGATATTTCTTAAAATGTATGAACGATATAAAAATAAAGATATCCAAATCAATAAATTCCTCGTCAAGTAAACATGTTGTGAGGAGAACTTCCAATATGATCGCCAGATATAATTCAATGTCCTATGTGTTCCAGGGCCGAGCAGAGGCCCTGTCTATCGATATCATTGTAAATGGATATCCATAGAGACGATCGCATCAAAGATGACCCGGACACGAAGTAATTTTCCGGAATTCAAGCTGACGTACAAGCTCGGAGAGCAAGACCGACCCTTTAAAGGTACACGATCGCTTTATGAACAACAATTTTAGAACGTAAAGTTTCTTTGTGCGTGATTAATAATACCGAAACCGTAGTACAAAAATCACATTAGATATGAAATTGTTATACCATTCTGTTCTGATAGTATAATCTTTCTAACGACAAAAATAGCTTCCTTACGTTTCGAACAAAAATATAGATCCGAGTATCCACAGAGAAGCAAAGAGCATCAAGTTTATCCATTTATCGGATTGGAATTTTAATTTTCGTCGATATGTCATCTATTTCTGTTTAAACTATATTTTGCTACATTTCTCTATGCGGCAAAACAAGAATTCATTTTAGAATTAGAACTGGAATCGTTCTTTTATTTGTTCACAAATTTAATTGCCATACCAGAAATATTTAAACTAAAAATATTATAAATGTATAAAAATGTGTAAAATATAAAATATCAAAAAATAATCCAGACTTCTCAATGTATGTATTCATTAAATTTTACACACAGAGTGTGCCAAACCAATCATATCGCCTATTAATATAACAGCTTTTAAGATTATTTGAAAATCTTTATGCCAAAATATCGAGGCTGCAGTAATTTTTAAATAAGAAATGTTTAAAATATTAAAAATTGAGCAATTAAATCGTCAAAAATTCACGCGCTCAGACTCGTCGTATATATTGATTATGTACATATATATTATATCCCAAAAAATCTTAGAAATTTATTATTAATGGTTGATACGTTTACGAATTAATCTGCGACTCCTTGTATATTATACATTATATTACATTATTTTGAAACCTACATATAAAAAGCCCCCCCTGTATTTTCTTAATGATGTTAAAAAAGCTTAGCTTACAAAAGACGGCTTCGCTATATTAAGTTCGCTTCTATACGATCGCTAAAAAAAAGTTCGCATTTTGTGCAATAAATTACTTACCGTATCGTTGCTCTGCTGTTGCCCGATGCCTCCTAGGCCCCCTCCTCCTCTTTTTAGCGATTTTTCGAGGCACTCACACTCACTCACACGCGTTCGCGGCGCACGCCTTGCTCGCGTGCGTACCCGAATACGAAAATCGCGCGATACTTTAAACGACATTCCCGGCGTCGCAGGCGAATCGAACCGAATTGTCCAAACTGCGACGTTACGCGCGAATCCCGTCCGCGTTTCAGACGACCGTATTTACCAATTGAGGCACGATTTTCTCAAAACAGAGGGCAAAACGTAAGCTCGAAGAAGATAAGGTGCGATTAGTCATGGAATCAACCGACTAGATACCGGGCATTTCATCAGCATTTCGGTGCCAAACCGACGGAACTGTCGACCAAGTCGCTGGGTTAACTTGTAGGCCGTCGATCATATGTTTCATAGTTGCAATTAAGCAACCCCATGCTTTCCGGCATGACATATGTTAGCACGTCTGACAGTGAAGATGCCTTTTTGTAGTCGGAATTTCATGATAAAAATCGAACCTTTTCTCCCCCGAGCCGAGCCCAAAGTTGAAAAGAAAAAAATCCCTCAAAGAGAGATCGTGTTCGATCGTGTCTCAATATTTATCATTCGGCGGAAATGCGTTCGTTCATATGATTCGCTAGATTACGGCGTTTCGTACTCGCGCGAAACTATCACGGCACTCCCGGCATAACGACACTCCCGAATTCCCGACGCGCACTTTATTATATTACGAAATTATGACGATTCGCAGCACGACACCAAAATTTATCTGTAAAACAGAAATACATTTACATTAGAACAGAATTTTTAAATCAATACTAAAGATCGCAAAGAAATTAAAATATTACATATAAGTTTTGCTAATATAAAACCGAAGCTATATTCATTGGCATATTGGTTATAAAAAATATAAATATTTTGTCTTCTACGATACCATGTCTGTAAGTGAACAAATAAAATTTTGTACAGGATCCAACATTTTACAATAGGATCCTACAGAAACCTATAGATATATAAATTATAGCTAATTAGCTAATATATATATATAGCTAATTAGTAGCCTAGAGAGCATAATATTATTTGAATATTCTAAACTCTCTTAGGAACACAAAACTGTATAAAACTGTATATAACTTTTATTAAATAAGAATAATATAAAACTAAAAATCAAGCTGTAGTGCTAAACAATTAAATTGCAAATTTTTCCGTTTTTTCGATATTTGCGATCACTATTTTCTTCATAAAACGAGTTTATGTCATTCATCGTTATAAACTCAAGCATCGGATATGCACGACACCCAGCCAAGCTGGCATAACCGCGCGTGTATATAATTGCACACGACGTCGATGCTTAAAGCGGAATAATCCTGGCTTCATATTTCGTGTTTCCCCTTTCTCTCGTGTCTGGCGCGGTAACGTTGATGAAACTTTTTATATTTTATCTAACGGCTCGCCGTAAGAGGATGTGCAGTGTACGATGACATACTCAATTGTACTCGGATAAAAATTTCAACGTAGTCGAGCGTGCGCGTTTCATAACATTAACCGAAATTATTTGAACGGCCTACAATTTGTGGCCATTTAGACAACAATTTTAAGTGTGCTATGCGAAGTTTAATTAAATAATATAATGTAAAAAAAAGCTAACTGCGGATAATGTTTTTATAATAAATAAAATAAGACTTGGAACGAAGAATCGTTGTTATCTCACAAGTGTAAAATCATATTTCATTCTTAATATTTATTACCGTACTTACGGTACTTACGGTCCATGATCTGTTCCGTATACTAAGCATAGAGGTCGGTATTTATCGGTGCAAGGTTGTTGCAGGTATTATGGGCACGGTGCACGTACCTGAAGACGAGCCCGGGTAAGGTAAAGAGGAGCGAAGCAAGCTTCGCGCCCTATCGCGAATCTTACCGCGCGTGTAAACTCATAAAGCGTGAAGCACGGTAACCAGACCGGCGTCGTGACGTACCTTAAGACCTCGTAGAGTAAAGGGTAATAATGTGTCGCGCCTCATCGTTTTTACACCCGATTGTGCTTTGAATTGTCGACGTTTAATTCAAATTTTAATTTAAAAAGTTGCGATTAATCGAGTAAATATAACACTAAAATAGATTTGCGATAACGCTAAGAATTTCGTAAAAACTTACGATATGACAGAAATTCCGCATTCTCAAAATAATTTTTAATCAATCGGTTTGCCATGGCAAACGCGTTCCATGCGTTGCAGCGATCGTCGATACGAAAGGCGGCAGCCCGCTGATTACGGCCGCGTTTCAAATTTTAGGTTGGCGCGGAGGAGGTGGAGGCATACATAGCGCGGAATACATATTATGCAAATATGTTTGCGCTGCCTCACGTCGTGAAATAATGTCGGCGGTCGCTGGACGGTGGTCAGCCCAGTGGCCGAGTGCCGATAGCGTTATTATATTATTGCGCTAATGTTATTGCTGTGTGTTATGCACGGAGCCCAATTAATATAATGCGGACGAGCGGACCGCTGTTTGATCGGATTTGCACGGGCCTTTGATGCGGCATCCTGCCTGAAATCGGCCGCTCGATGATAAAATTGATTAAATGTCGCCTGTCCTGGCGACGGAGTGGCACACTCATCGTAAACGTATTGCTAAAGATGCATCACTGACAGAAGTGTAATACGCGCGTATCACAGCGCGTCTTGCAAGCGTGAAATCAAAATCATAAAGTGCTTTGGCTAGCTTTAACTGCTGCAGTTAGAAAGCTCGATATTACCATTATTATATCTAACATGTATATTAAATTTCGCACTTTGCCTTATCTCAGAATCATATATTGTAAAGTGATATTTAGCTTTTATAAAGAAGATTTCATTATATCTTGCATCAATTAGCTCGTTTGTTTCTACAAAATCACATCTTATTTTAACCTCCAATTTTTTAATACGCAGCAACGAATTATATTCGTGAATATTTATATTAATATTCTGACAAAACGTTAATATTTCATTAACGAAAGCGCAATATCGAGAAGAGAAGGGGAGATCGTTTTCAACCGTTAGTCGAGACGACGACTCGCGAACTTCAGGAATGCTTCTCTGCAAGTGAGACTTGTAAAACGACATAAAAAATCTGGGCCGGAAGTTCGTCTGTTTCCAAAGTGGAGCAGGGAGAAAATATTTCACGAGTCCGCGGATTTTCCTCGATGGCGCCATTACATCACGCAAACTTCAGAGATCGAACACGTCGAACTTTGAATAACAAGCCTGCTGCTAATGAGCGCTGTTCATTGTGCTCAGAATGCGTTACTCGCGCGCATAGAGAGAGATAGATAGATAGATAGATAGATAGATAGAAAGAGAGAGAGAAAGAGAGAGAGAGAAGAGAACAGGAGTGAGAGATCCCTGAACGATATTAAATATTTGATCAATATCCGATCGTGCGACACGTTGGCCAACCGCCGCCGCACGCCCGCGATCGTTTATCCGATTACTTTGCAATCGGTTTTATCCCCAAATGGAATCGAAGATCGCTACGACAAGTCGGCGATTAAAAGCTCGCCCGCTCGTGCGTGCGAGCGTATTAAAACTCGCAAACCGATAAGCGAGTCTCGCATCGCCGGTTGTCTTTTAATTAACGAGTCGGTATTCTATTCGCAAAAAATCCTAGCCGCGAGTACGTTTTTTGTCGGCATTATGTTTGTTTTTATTACGTCTTTTAATTGTTCCGTAAATTCGCCGCTTTAATTGGACGCGATCCTACACCTTTCTTAACCTTTGCTTCAGAAATAAAACTTAGCGATATCGTTTATTGGCATTCTATATAAAATAAGAGCATCGACAATCAAAATAACTTCAATTAAATAGCAGTAATCATTTATTCAATTCATCATTATTACAAAGCTTAAATCGTCCTGGCACAATTTTCAGCGCAGATCTCATATGCATCACTAATGATCATAATTCAAACAAATCCGTCGAGCGCGAAGAAACGCCAAGTTCCTAACGAGCTCGTGTCTTTTAATGATTTTAAAACAGTGCGTGCATTCACAGAGGGATAATCAGAAGACGGCATTGTGCATCATAGAATTTTGTCGGAAATCCCTTTTTTCCGCCGCGTTCTCGATTTTTCGTCGTCGATTCAGACTCACGCGACTTACGATTAACATTCGAGCATTCGCGATATCCGCAGTGAGCCTCTCGTTGCTTGTAATCCTCCTCTCTCTCATTCATGGCAAAACGGTGTTTGCCGAGGACAACGACGGCGACGTTGGCGTCGAGACTGGTGCGCGACAGGTAGCAGGAAGAGAACGAGCGAGCGGTGGGAGAGGGATGATGCGGGGGGACAAAGACAAGCTCGCGCGACGGGTGGGTGTGCGCGGGTTTTAATTATTTCCACGAGATGAGATTTCGCCACGGCGACTAGTATTGAGCGTTAGTCCGGTGTAAATTCCGGGATCCCGGGCTAATCGGCATAATTCCACGGAATCCGTAATGGACTTTGGGAATGGGCGCCGGGTAGGACACCGGACCGGTAACGTCCACCCCTGCCACCACGAACAACCCCCTCTCGACAGGGCCGTTTTATCCATTGCACAGTAGATATTTACGTACCGACTTGCGACGCGTTTTACGTCTACGAAAAATTATTCCCAAAAAAGGAACAATGCGAGAAACAATTGCGAGAAAAAAAATCAAAGTTTAATTAACGTGATGTTATATAATAATTAATTAATCTCGATTCCAAATGTTAAAAATATATTTTTAAATTACTGCAAAACAAGTTATTTATTTTTAAGAAAAATCTAAATTAATGAATTGTATATATATATATATATATATATATATATATATATATAAGAAAATATTAATATATTTAACGTAAGATATGAAGTAAAACCTTTTTAAAAAGAGTATCTAAGGCTGAAGATCTTAAAGCGGCCCTGACTGTTAAGGTTCTCTCTCCCTCAGTATTTCTCTTCTCAACTCGCCGTGTCTCTTTTCTAGCTCTTTCAATATCCTGTTTGTGTGTTTGTGTATACGTGTTTTTGTGTATGTGCGTGCCACTCTCTCTCTTCGCTTGGTACGGCAAATTAGATCTTCCCGCTATCCGCTGACCAACTGTAAAGAGCTTAATGCAATAGATTCGCCAACTGTCCAGAAAATCTAACCAAGCGCGATCGAGTTTCGTCCCGACCATTATATCTCGCTGCGGATGCAGACTCCTTCGTGCATCGTAAACCTCCTGGCGCGTTACGTATTAGCGAAATGTCCGCTTATCCGCGTTGAAAATGTTTAAATATTTATGGTTTAAAAAGGAGATAAAACTTCAGAATAAACTTCAAATATCAATTATTATACGTATTTAATATCTATCTTTTGTAATATTAAAACAACAATTTTCGCCAGCTTGAATTAGCTGTTTTCAAAAAGTCAACTGTTAATCAAAATAGCGTACATCAATTAAAAATATTGCATATTGCGGAAATCTATTTGAAACTATTTTATTTATACATTGCATTATATTTAAATTCATATTTTAGATTTTTATATTTTTTAAATAGAGATTTTTTATCGTAATAAATAATTTTAATAATTTACAAAAGACAGCGCCGCATTTAGCATATTAAGCTCGCCTCTCTATCATCGCTAAAGAAATCCATATTTTTTTTGCTATAAATTACTTACCACAATGTTGCTTCGACGTCACCTGATGCCCTCTGAGTCTCCTCCTTCGATCGTCCTTCGTGGCACTCACACGCGTTCGCGATACGATTACGCACGCATTGCTCGCGTACGTACGCGAATACGGAAAAATCGCGCAGCACTTTGAACGGAATTCCTAACGAAACAAAATTATACGAATCACGGTGGAATGAATACGACTAGTTACCAGCAGCGAAATAGCGTAAAAGCTTATCTGTAAAACAAAAATACCATTTACATTGCAACAGCGGTCAAAGCAAAAGTATAGGTTACTTTTATCATTCATAATAACAAATAAATATTTCTTTCCTTTCCAAATTAATCCAATAATAGATTGATTGGTTATGAAGTTATGCAACAAGCGCAAGAAAGTTCGTACATAACGTGTGGCATATTCGCCTTACAATTAATAAAACGCTACCGCATGTAAATACTGTGTAATTGTGAAAGAAAGGAGATACAAAATATAATTTCTGCAAAGAAATATTAAATATAGTTTACCTTTAAAACTACCGCGTTCCGCGACCGTCCGACCACACATACTGACTCCGAAGTTTATTCTTTTTACTTTTACTCTATTTACTTTTCCTACTTATTACTATTCTACTACGGAATTTCCCCCACCCGCGGGGATTGGAATTTCTCAGTCACAAAAGCAAAACATCACGCGTCACGCATTTCAGCTTAGTTACAATACTTCAAACTTTATTATTGGTCGAAATTTCAATGTCAATAACGCGGGAACCGAGCAATGAGAAAAGGAAGAGGAAAAACAAACAAAACAAAACAGCAATTTACCCACGAACAATTTTCTCTATAAGATTTTCTCATATAATATATATTCTTACCGAGTTCGCAATTGTATGAGACGCGTAATTCGCTAAATAAAAACTGTTATAACTGAATTATTATTAATAAAACAATTATTAATAAAAAATTCTTATCGAGTATGCTTCTTTGCACAAACCTTCAGGCAAACCTCATGGCACAGAGAATCTCGTTAACAGAGAATCGTACATCATACGATATATAGGATTTGATTATATTCCGCAAACAATTAACAAATCATTTGCACTAAGCTTATTGGCATTAATCAGCGAGTATGGCACATTATCGTTGCGTATAACGTAAACGGTTAACCTGTTTACTCATTAAACCATTTGAGTCGCTCAATCTCTCGCTCATTTCTCCAATCATCGATAAATTATTGAAAAATATGCAGAATTATTATTAACGAATAACATTATTTAAACGATGTTCTTGTTATCGTTTTTCGAAGATATTTGAAAGATATCTGATTTAAGTATATTTGTAAGTGTTACAAAAAAAGGTAACAATTAAATTTCTCACTTTTATAGACGTGTAAATGACAATTACAATCGACTGGTATATAAAAATACTTTTCAGACTTGTTAATCGAGTTATCACAACCTCGCCAAACCTGTTCGGTCATATCAGCAATTAATAACGCGAGTTTTTCTCGTCAAATAAAAAGCTATTTTTCTAAAGATTTTAACCTCATCTCTTTGTGAAGAGATTATAAACGTGATTTTCCATAGCATTGCGGTAATTAATCCGAAATCTCGTTCAACCGCAAAAATCTATTAAAATTAAAACGTGTATAACTTATAAATTTAACTGTGAGATGTTCAAGAACGATCTGTTGCGGGCGATGCCTATATCTCAAACGTCCCATTAACTATATACACGATTACAGGGGATTACATGCAGGATGCATAGAGAGGGAGAGCGATATCCTGCGAATAATTCGATGTCGCATTACTACTGTTCCACCTGTGCGTTGCTCGTAGTCGAATCGCTACAGGCACATAACAGATGGTCTAGCTTTAGATATTTTAGACATATACATTGTTTATCAAAGAAATCAACGCATCTCGATAAAACAATTTGACTTAACAAAATATCAGTCTGTAACATTTAAGACATAGATTTAATTTAAATAAATGACTTTTGTACTTTGATATTATTATCATTTCTTTAACTCCTCATTAATATAGCATACGCAGTTTGAAATGCGTTGATTCTTTTATAAACAACATATATAATCATTTGCAAAACATGTCATTTGTTGAAAAAAATATAAAAATAATTTCAATTAAAAAAAAATTAGTTTTAAGTATTGTACAGATTTAGAGTCTTATGTACTTTCTAAATATTGTTAAAGATCGTAACTTTTTAGGAATTAACGCGCATATTTCTTTAAATAATAATTTTGAACATTTATACGTTCGCCGCAATAAACGCGTGGCTGTATTTCAAGCAAATGTGAATTATTTCCGAACGAATAGGCAGGCGCGCCGCAGCGAAGAAGTACGAGAGAGATAGCCGAAGACTTGGACAAGCAGCCGACTTGGACAGTTCGACCGGTGGCGTTCGATGCTAATGAAATTCCGCCGCTCGCTTTCATAGATTGTGCAGTCGGCCGAAGTGAGTGCTGGTTTAGCGTGAGCGCGGACGCCAATGAATGGCCGCACCGGGACCATCAGAATAAACGGTAAAACTGCCTCGAAAGCACCACGTGTGCGCGCAAAGAAGCAGAAATTAATAGCGAGAGTTTCATTCTCTCTCATTCGAAAATATTGGAAATGTATTTTCTACAATTGTAGATGTCAACGACATACTTTGTACCTATTATACAAAATAAGATTTTTATAACGATTGCGTATTTGTAAAATTATCTTCTCATTTTAGCGAAATTGTTGATAAACACGAAAATACAATAGTAAAATAACTTAATAGCGACGAAAATAGCATGAGACAATTATCTTACTAACGCAACTAAATATAAACGGGTTTCACGGGAAGATTTCCAACGAACAAGGGTATTTCTGCAAAGTGCAGAATGATGTAGATTCCACGGTGTTTTCAACAAAAACGTAACTTTGATAACTCGAGTTTGCTCGCGATGGTGTCGGGGCGAATTGCGGAAGCTAATGAAAGAGATCGATGATATATATGCGCGGAGTCAATAAGGGAGAGCGCGAGGAGTGCGCGTCGATTCGATCGACAACCGAGTCGAAGTTTTAACCGGAAGAATGAAAGGAACTGACGGAAAGAATCGTAGGATTTAATAAACATTCCCGGATGGTAATCGGCCGCCGGCAGTAGCCGGGTCTCTTTCTCTCTGTTCCGCGAACAGTTTTCCAGGGCGAACTCAGATTCCAGGGTAGATTAAACCCGCCGGAGATATGCCGCCGTCGTCGTCGATAAGTGGCTTTAACTTTCAGAAGCTGTTCATAGTTCAGTGCGTGCGTAATGAAGATTCGCAAGAAAGTCGAGCAAGGAACGAAATCACGGAGGACGGAGTCACGGCGACGCGCGCGTTCGAGGATAATAAAAGTTCTTTCTTCCAGCCGGATTCGATCAATTATATACAATCTTATTAGTTCGCCGCGCCTTTCTCACGCGTTATCGTCGACGCTTAAAAAAAGGAATCATCTTTGATTTTCTTATTAACAATTTTCCTGCTATTTGCAAAGTTTCATTTTACAGTCACTTAAATTTGTATTGATTAAAAAATTGTGAACAATTTCTGAATAATTTGTTACATCAAGTAGTTTGTTGTTTTCGCTTAATTGCAAATTCAATATAATCAGACTTGTAGCCGCGGAATATTGGTTTTGCATAATGCTGGAAAATGGGACATTTTGAAGCACATAATTATTCATCGTGTCGGGCTTTTAGATAAATTTACTCGGTCTTGAATCCTATTCATTACAATCGTACTATCCGGCATCTTCTCTTAGTCAAAGCGGAATGTTAATGTCCATTTTTAATGATAAATGAAATGCTACACGGACAAAAAATATTATCGTTACTATCTTCCATTTAGTAATGTTTCACGACGTAGATAATTGCATATGCTAACGTCAGGATTCTTTTCCATTGCGCAGACAGAATTTAAATAGCGAGCTAAATTTCGTTTATGAGCTTAAATCATCACCTGTTACCGCTTGAAATTAGCGCAATGCGTCTCGCATTCATTAAATCAACAGGACGATGGGCGTTATACGACCGCCCTTTACATCAAGCCATTTGACATTGAGACCACAGAGGGCTATTAACCATGACATAGCGCGCGATTTCGACAGTCTTGGGACCCGTCCGTCTCCCTCTTGTAAAGGCCTTTGTAGACCAATCGCGTATCCTACGACGGGAAACTACAGGTGGATACAGAGAGTGGGACACGCAACGATTGTCGTGTATGTACGTACGTATATAGCCAAGTCAGACGTTTACACGGTCGCACACGGAGTGAGAGTGACAGCGCGCGACATGTCTTTGACATGTTCTCCGTTTCAGCAAAATGTCCCCTTTGTACACACGCGGATATGATCGGTACGCCGGTTAGAGGAACAGTAATGGACCGGTTAGCGGCTTTGCGAAACAAATCGATCATCGAAAGACGCAGATGTTAAGCGTCGCTTATTTGACACGCAATCGTTTGATCAATCACGCCGGCGTACGCCACTTTGATCGACGAATTTCGAAATGGCAATTATGATTCTTCTCTTTCTGACGTCAATTTTAATTGAAGGGCTTTTATATAGATCAGAAGGCTGGTGTCAATCTTACTTTAAGTTAAAAGCAAATTATCGAGACCGCGAAACAAACTTTACCATGCGAACTGTAGCTGCTACTAAGAATATCTGAAGTATTTGACGTATCTGCGTGGAAATTACGGTATAAAAGTCATTTGTTTTATCATTATTATATTATATATTAAAAGTTAAAGAACGTGAAATAAATCCATTTGTTTAAACGGAGATATATTTCGCAAAGTACCGCCGGTAACTTTGTCGAATTTGGTATTGCATTTGAAATTTAAATTGTACGCGTTATCGAATTTATGTACCGTATCAATATAGATATACATTTTGGCGGGCCTCAATTATAAAAATATTTGTCCATAAATCTATGATATATAATGGAGCGAGGAGAATTTCCGTTTTATTGCAATACCTCTGAAACGTCGTTCGACAAATTTTTCAATGCCGAATCGAAATAGCGATACGGCAACGGATATACAAATCGTGCATTTATATCGAATAAACTGAAAGCAATTTTTATCGGCCACGTAATCGATGATCACTCTCGCTTTGCCAGCGTTGATTACTTAATCCTTCACAAAGCCATAACGATGACAATTGCGTCGCGCATAAATTTTCATTTCAACACAAATTAACATAAAAT